ATGCAGACATGCAATCCACTGAATGATGATGATTTTATGCAGCTGCAACTAACAGTTGATCCTAATCAGAATTCATCTAACTTTGGTATTGATTTATACTTGGCCACTTTAAATTTTGTGGAACAAAAAGTTTAATTTTGACTCTTACACTCTTAAACCAGCATTTGAAAACCTGCTTGAATGGCGTTTGTAGCCTGTTACAGGGTAAGTGAGTTACCCGCAAAAACCACTGACACTTCATGTATATAAATGACAGGCCTTCCTCTTGAGCGGGTGTTGCATCTCCTGTATCTCCATTAATTTGAATCGCCATTTCCTAAATAATATATCAACTTGCATATGATTGATATGCTTGCAAATGCCTGTACAGAGCTAGTGTGATTTCCCATAATATTAATTACATGCCACATATTCTAATGAATATCATTTTAACATGGCCAAAGCTACCTAAGCAAAATTTAACTTTAAGAGTAAAGTCGTAGCCGAAAAGCTGTACCTGTAGAACATGTTGTCATGAGTTGGGCTGGTTTTAATCTCCTCACAGCAAGAATTTAAAATTGTTATAAGCTACTTTTGCAAAACTGAAGTCCTGCATGAAAGTTTACTTCTATAGTAGAAAACTCCATGCCTCACAAGGCTGTCTTTTGGCCAGTTAATGATATAGGGTAATGCCTATTGTTATGTACTCATGTTATAGTAATGATAATTATAGTTTTCACCTATATAAAATTTGCAATAAAAATTGCTGTAATACAATAAATAATTATAGATCTACAGCCAAATAAAAATACTCAGTACAGCAAAAACAAAAAAGAACCAAGATTAACACTATCACAAAATGGCATCAAAATTAATAACACACAAAATAGCAAAACATTCACAACACTGACGACAGTTACAGCAAAGCTCCTTCACACACTAGGCACTACGGGGAAGAACACTTCACTGGCAACAGTCCTTGGGTAAACCTGTTTCAATCAAACACTACATGAAATGATGGATGAGTAACTGCTAGTCTTGTGGGACCACACAAAAGCTTGTGTCTGGAATGGACTATTGAATACAATTATTATCACTATGAAATCAACTAATGACTCAAGCTACCTGACAAAAGAACTGAACGATAAAGGGTTTTGTAAATTAACCCACTGTTCAGTGAAAAAAGAATACTTGATGCCGTGCGCTAAAAGACTGAAAACTCCCTTCAGAGGATGACCTTCACCAAGGAATTTAACCTAAAACAGATTGAATACTAAAATACACAAATAACCGTCTGTTACCATGCACACACACATTAGCACAGGCTGGCAAGCATTTATTAGGCGAAAAGATCTCCAGCTAAAGCCACAAAGAGTGGATCCCAAAACGTCAGATCCAGTTTACAAACATCTTGCATCAATGCCAAGTAGCTGATTCATGTAAAACAAACGTTGCTAGTGAGAGAAATTGTTAACTCACAAAGTAGCATCATCTGGCGTCAAAGTGGAACTATTATTTGTATTCACATTTGTTATTCATGAATATCAACATCCATTCCGCCTTTAACATCACTTGTAGCACTGACGGCGATAGCCACTCCTCACCTTTGAAGGAAGCTCATCAGCATCACCTATTCTCTGGTTGTGCATTCAGTTTGTACATTGTAGCCTTCCACTGACTCATTTCAATAGTTTGACGTCTTTAACAAGATCACAGTAGGGCCACCAGAATGATCAGAGAGCAATGTATCATAGGCACTCACACAGATACAGGGTCTTTCTTATTTCTAGTGGGATGAAGATAAAGGAAGTTCCAAGGTCCTGCCAGCTTTAAAAAATATTCAAAAGATGCTCTTCCTGTCACAGCTAAGTTACATCAGCATAAT